CTGTCTATGTTTTACGTGTAAAAGTAGTTTGATTTACACAATAATTTTAATAACTTAAAATAGTATTTTAGAACTTTTTTTTTTCATAATCCTAAGTATATTTATATGTCTAAGACGATAGTGTGATTTAAAATTGAATATATATTGTTATTGCATACATATTATAAATTGTAATTTAGTAAAATTATTGAGTTCGTGATTTGTGCCGTATAATAACCAAATTTTACGAAATTGACTCTAATAGTTTTATTTATTATAAAAAAAACTAGAAAGTATATCAAAATTATAATCATTGTCATAAATACAAAAAAAAAAAACTTAAGGTTATATAAAATAAAATTTAAAAATATTATACTTAACAATTGAAATCGTTGTGTTAATCCAGACACTTTTGCATGTAAAACATACGCCACTGTTCCGACTTCAACACTATGACGTCACATGCATATTTTCAAACGCTTGTATCTTATTGAATAATTAATAAAACCCACACCATATTTCTTAGATAAAGACATACATTAAATCTAAACAACTTGTTTTTAATGTTGTGATGTCCTTTACTTAGTATATTATTGCATTTCTTATACTTATCAATTTATCTTAAAATAGATACCAGCACTAATGAAAACTATATTTCTACTTAATATTTGTTTGTAATAAAAATACTCCAAATTTTACGAAATCACATTTTAAATTAAAAAAAAATACTTTTGTATTTCAATTTATAATTTACCATATTATAATGCGCTTCTCGAGTATCTTAAAAATTATTAAATTGGAGTATTTTGATTAAACAACTTATGATATAAGACACATTATATAATTCAATCAAGTACTTTTAAAAATGGAACATTCTAAAATAACTATCTATATTGATCATTTTTTTTTTTTTATTTACACTAATATGTAAATATTTTTTTAAACTTTAAATCCAACTTAAGCATTCATTTTATCTATCATCATTATTCATAATATCGTACAAACTGTTACGGTATTGTTACCTGTTATTGTATAATGATACAATATTTATTATTTATGAAAACAATCAATAAAAAAAAAAAAAAAGCTAATGTAATTTAAATAGAGAATTTAATTTTTCAATTTTAACATTAAGTATTACGTTAATGTTATAATAATTGTTGAATATATACAATTCTTCAAATTAATTTTCGCTTAAAATGCCAAAAATCTAATGTCATTATGTTTTACACGTAACAATCCAAACAATCCAAACCTTTGACCGTTTTAGGGCTTCATAAATGTATAAAATATCACACTAACCATGCAGATTGGTCATGTTTACATAATATTATATTTTGTTGAGATTTCATAACGATTTAAGTCTTTTACAAATACGTTAATAATATGATATAGAACGAATAAAAATCAGATTTTCTTTTAATCATTAGAACTAATAACAATCTTTTAATAACTGTTGATGGCAGTTCTAAACTGAAATAATTTCAATATCATGAAAAGAAATTATTCTCAAATACCGTTTTTATTTTTTTTCTCTTAAAATATTTTTCAACAAATATCTAAAAGTTAACAGATATCCTACCTATTGGCCTCAAATTGAATAAACAAATACCTTTACTATTGCAAAAAAAAAAAATAAATACCATACTGCATTAAACTATACCAATGTAAAATGTTAAACAGACATATGAAACGCGCAGAAATAATTTTCCAAATTTGTTACACCGCAAACATATATTCGTTTTATTTTAATATCTAACTCAAAAACAGACTAGGTCATATGAAATATACTTCAGTTTTTCCACGCTATACTAAAAATTGTTTTATTGTTATAATTTGTTATGAGTTTCTTGTTTTTACATATAGGTTTCGAATTTTTACGACTTTCGGATGTGGTTGACCCTGGAAATAAAATACACTCGATGTTGTAAATCCAAATGGGATAAAATATATCGAATATTTCTAGAGCTAATTTTTTAGTTAAATCTATATGACCGTTTCATCGCACATCGATAATACGCGCGTGCGCACCCTTTCTTTTAACTCTAAACCGCCGATGTGTATTTATTATTTTAGTTCAAACTTGAAAATAAAACGAAGCTCATAATAAGTTTATGATTGTACATTAATTTACCTATAAAACGCAGTATAACGAATAATTCAACACGTTTGTCTTACAAGTTCAATCTTGAATGATAAATCTACCTATTCAAGTTTAATTTGATAATTATTATCAAGGTTTTTAATCGGCTGTGTTAAAAAAATCTTATTAAATAACAATATTTAACTCATAACACGGTAATATTATATTTATTTTGTAGATGATACGTTTTTATTATATATCTTATAATTACAATTATAAATAATTATAATTTGATAATGATATTTCATTTTTATATTTAGTTTGCCAATCAAGACTAACGTTGCATTCCTCGATTGTTTAGAAAACATAGTTGTGTCTACATTCGCACTACTACACACAATTGGCAACACTAGTGTGTAAGTTCGGAAATCAAGAATCGAAGAGCTCCAAAAAAAGTAAGTAAATATATAAAAATCATTAGTAAATCTTTGAATAGATATTATTATTATTATTATTATTCGTAAACACTCATACACACATACGAGTACTTTTTTTTATAAAAATGACATCGGTATATAAATGTTAGACAATTTAAAGAAAAAATGAACACACCATTATGACGTCAATTGTCGTATATTTTCTATTTTTACACTAACTAACCGGAAGTGTCTAACCGGAAGCATATAGATGTAGAGCATATTATAGTTTTTCGCGAGGGTGTTCTGCCGATGACCAGTCATGAAGGATAGATATTATTGTTATCATATCCATCCTTGCGTTAATATACTTATTGAAAAGATTTTTATTTTTATTAGTAAATTTTATGACACGATATAAACGTGATTTGTATTTAATTATTTTTTAATTATTAAATGAAAACAAATAAATAATAGAATAGTTAATTAAAAACAATATTTTTATTTTCTGTACTTACAGATCACAGTGAACTCTTTAAAAATTGTATTCGTTTTGAAATCTTATCATTAAATATTTAAATAAAATATGTAGATAATATAAATTTAGAAAAATATATTAGTTGAAAGAAAATTGAAACGAGTGTTTAGCATCTTAATACCCCAGTGTTGAAGTGTTGAATAAAATACAAACACTAACCTTTATTTAAAATTTTCAAATAACTGTGACAAATCGTAAATTTAAAGATTATCATTTTTTTTTTTTTTTTAGCATATATTTATTTTTATTTTACAAGCTAATCAATACATTATAATGAGTAATTATAATAATAATAGGTGAGTATGATCTATTGATTCCTAATTGTTTATTTTTAATCGGTGAACTAAGACGTAAGGTATGTAAGTAATAATAAATGTATTAAACAACTTTTAAAATACTCATTATATTTTTTTTCTACTTGAAAATAAACTATTTAATACGAGGACCCATAAACCCTTCCGGTTTACCGTGCTTATCATGAAAATATTTGTGTCAATAATCAATATGAACGTCATAATATGGAGTGGCAGAAGTCAATTATTTTTATTTTAAATCTTGGGAAACGTAATAGTAAAATTAAATGTATTAGTTTTAAAATAATTGTATATTATTATTATATTATTATTAGTTTTATGTTTTTTATATATATCATCACGTTTTGGAACAAAATATTTGTTTAAATCTTCAATAGAGACTTAAAACTTACCACCATTATAATATATTATTAATTTGAATATTTAATACAATTTTCAAAATATTTAGACCAAATTATTTATACCGTAAACAAATGTTTACTTTTTTTCGATATTGACTTATAACCTTTATGCAGTAAATAATTAAACTTATCGATTTGAGAATATAGTTAAATAGTGATGTAATAAGAATAAAATACTATGCATTGACATTTATATTGATATTATATCTGTCTCGGTGTATCATTAGCTTAGATTCGTTTTTTTCAAATAATATAATGAATCATCGTATTGCACTCAAATTACAGTAAAATGTATATTATACGCATATCATATCATGTAAATACTAAAATAGAGGTTTGCTATATTTGTACGAGATAATAGCGTCATTTTTTGATCGGGTTACATCATAACATGTACAGGTGGAAGTCGCCAACACGCCGGAATACTAATTAACGTATTTTATATGGGCCACAAAGGACGACGGTGTTTAAGGTTTACGATCAATTTTTCAATTGACTAGAATTTCAAATTTAGTGCTTCTCGCGAGCTGCCCTAGTTGACACGCCGTGCGTAGTGTGACGTATAGACTTTGCTATGTATTTATACACTTATATATATATATATATATATATAAATGCAGGTGTCAGCAGGGCATGTTTTTCCCTCGAAAACTGTTGTAAACCTTATTTATAAAACCTGGGATAAACGCATATAACTTAGAGCGACCGCCAAGACCTACCAGCAGCCCACACGGATGACGTTATCCACCGGACGACAATATTGTGCACGGTATATGGTACACACACACGTGCCTGCTGCACGGGTGCAACGTACCGCGTTGTTATCACACGCTGCAGATATAATAATAACATTATTTGCGTGGCCATCATCCCCGACGGCGGTCGTACGACAACGTGACCGCCACTGCAGCCGGCCGATCGCGGGGCGACGGCAGTGTAGAGGTGGTGGTGGTGGTGGTGTGGTGGTAGTGGTGGTGGCGGCGTCTGTTGTTGTAGCAGTGACGGGAAATACCCCCACGGCGTGTTGAGGACCGTACGGTGGTGACAGGACAACTGTGGCGAACGCGGGCGCCGAGCAGCGACAGAGCAGTATGTCATCGTTCGTTGACGTCACCGCGTGTCCGTCCGCGCTCTCCGCGGCGGCGGCGGCGGCAGCGTCGTCGTCGTCGTCGTCGCCGCCGCCGTCGTCCGCGGGCGGAGGGGAGCGCGCAAAACGCGCCGCGCGCGAGTCTGTGTGCGTGTACGTTGGCGTGTGTGTGCGTGCGCGCGTCTTGAATGAATGAACCCCCGGTCGCCTTGGGCCGGTCCTCCGGTCCGTTCAACAGGTCACCATTGGTCAACCGGTGGCCGGGTGGAAAACCCACGGTCACGCGGGTGGGGGGCCCGGCGGGCCGCCCTTACGTTTGCCGCCGCCGCTTCTGCCGCCGTTGCCGCCGCTCGGTCCACCGTCGAGACTTAAATGTCCACCGGAGTCAGGTGGCTATCTCAGTTGATCGTTTTCGGTCGACGGTGGTCATCCGCATAAATGTGTAATATAATATAATATTATCGTCGACGTCGTCACGTACAACACTGCACGCGAGTTTTCACACTATTATATTTATTCAATATTATTATTAATTTTTTTTAAATTTTATTCGAATCGATCGCATATTGTTTTTTTTAAACAGACTTTTCAGTTCGTCCGATATAACACACACACTCACTCGAGCATACACACACACACACGCACATTGACTTATTATTATTGTTTTCCGATCGTTTTTTATATTATTATTTTTGTTTATCGTCGTTCGTATATCGACACCGCTTGCTCGCCGGCACAATACAACGACGCGTCTCTCTCGGTACGTGTGTGACATATGATATATACGTATATCATTATTGTATGAACCGTAATCAGTTCGGTCGGACGTACTTAATATTCTCGTCGGAATACGTTTTTCGACGGATTTTCATATTTGTCCAACATTTCGACTCGCCCTCCGACGACCTCATGGAGTCTTACGGAGGTGCCGGATGTGTCGGTTGTTATCGAGAACACTGCAGGCAGCGAACGCATTCGGTGCCGATCGCGGCGACCGCGCCAGACCGTCGGACGCCGTCACAGATGAACCGCGGCCAAACTGCCCCCAGGAAATTCGATTTCGCCCGCCGTTCTTGTCGGCTTTTCATCGGTGAGTCCTCGGCGATGAATCGTCGTTATTTTATAATTACATGCACTTATGCCACAACGTTGTTAGACGTATAATATCATCTTGTACACTCCGTCGAATAGCCTTGAGTTTAGGTTTAAATGCGTAGGCGGTACAAGTATTTTTTTCGCGTTGAAGTCCTTGCAGTGCCGTACTCAAAAACCATCATCGTGCGACACGTTTTTCTCCAAAAATAGAGAAAAATATCATGATAAAATATAATTCTGTTATATCATGACGAATGATAATAATAATTTAATACTTTTGCACGTATAATATTATAATTTATCATACCTAACAATAATAATAATATAAAAAATCCGAGCGATCACCCGAACCACGTTAGCGTTTTTTGTTATCATTTCTTTCACGTGCAATGTTGTTTTGTCTGCAGCAGCCGTGCGATCGGCAAACGACACCGTTGCATTTCGTCCGAAGCCGATCGAAAATTTACCTCGCACCGCAAATTGATGACGATGGCGACTACAACAATCGTATATTAACACGCTCTTTACATTAATTTTTTTTGTCATTAATCTCTCGACTCTATTGTTGCCTCCTTAGTCTTCACACAGTATACTTGCAGCGTACACGTTCTATCACCGTCTTCGTTTCTTTATTATTATTTGGAGTGTTTAAACTAACTACGTCAGTAGCAATAAGTCCGATTCGTCTCAAAAAAAACTTTTTATAACCGTAGATTTTCATTGATATCCAAATTATGAACTTAAACTCATATTATATACGTATTGTCATTATATTCGTAAATTTATGAAAGTGCACGTAAGCGGCAATATATTAATCATCGACAGCTACTGCATGCGACATTGCAACGCTCGACAGTGGTTACGGTTTTCGATTATTTGTCACAAGTTATTGCGTGATCGTAATCGATCCATATGTATTTATATTATATATATATTCATCTGACATACTTTTACTACTCGATAAGCTTTGAGTACCATGTTAAGTGATTTTCATTCGCTTTTGGTTATTACATGTATATGAGGTGTTTCTATATATTACATAGAAATAAAATGACGTGTGCGCACTAATTATCTTAATGGAAAACAAATGAAAATAAAACAAATCACGGCCGGCCGATAACATGTAAAGTTATTGATTTATCGTGAATATTTCCGTAATGAACTATTAATAATTATGTATGAAAAATTTTATATCGTACATTATGTGTACCTCACAGTACATTTCAGTCGTCGCTCGGCGGCGCGTCGACGTCGTTGTGTCTTTCGTGATAGCGATATATTGTGTAGTGTTGTCTGCGACAATGACATGCTATAGTCACTAGTACCTATACTATAAACAGTATAAATTGGATTAGAGATGTAAACGAATTATTCAAGAAATATGATTGTTCAAATTGCTAATGGCCCAACGAATCCGACTGAATTCATTTATAGGTACGATTAAATTTGTATTATTCAAAACCACATTTATAAATTTTAATTAATAATATACGTAGAAAAAATTGAATTTTTTATATAAAATATAATTTTTTATAATTTTTTATTAAAATAAAAACAAAATATGTTTTGTGTTTGAATAATAAAGTAATTTTCTAAGTATGATGTTTTGTTTGTTTCTATTAGATTGTTTATACGTCATAACCGAATATAAAAATAAAAAAAATAAATGTTTATATTTTCTTTATAATTTTAGTAAATTAAAATTGTAGTGTAAATAAGGCAATTATTTTATTATTAATTAATGCATATTATGTATGGAAGAATGTTTTAATATTTTAGGAATAATTATTATTTGAAATAGGTAGATCATTACTCATTATGTAATACATTTTTATCTCAATTCATTTTCAATAGATAACGTACAAAGTTTTTTTTCGAAAACCTATGAGTATTTTTATAGGTATAATTTATAATATTAGAAAAATTACTCACTATTATATTGCCATATATTCATATAAAATAAGCAGAATTCGCACTTTCAATTCAAACACAATAACATAATAACGCATGATAACAAAAAAAATAATCTTGGCCACTTAAAACAAAATTCTAAACTATGTAGGTTTTTTGTTTTGGACTTTCATGGTGGTCAATAAATTTATGTTTTACAGACACCATCGGTGGTGTAATACGATCGGTTAATCAAATGGCATCTAATAAGGTGGGTCATTTTCGACAACAATAACTAAACAGTTGCTGTGTTTAAATAAAGTAGCATGTACAATGTATTATTGTATATATTAGTTGTAAATACTCGATAATACAACGATGATAATACAATATACGATTGCAGAGTAGATATATATGTATATTTATATATTATCGGAAAAATATTTACGGCGAGCACTATTTACAACGATAATATACGTACCTACTTTAAAACGGTGTTTTTCTAAGAGGATAATAATTTACAATTATATCATTTTTTTCCTCCGATTCACGTATACGTACATATACAATTATAATACATATAATATATATATATATATATATACAATAATAAGTACAACTGATGTTGTTGTAATAATGTACGAGATGAGATGAACAACGGCTTTGACAAATAGGTACAAATACGTATAGCACACGCATATACCTATATAATATTATGTATACTTATCGAAGACCTATAATAATTCCCATCGCATCACCTGCAGTGGTAGTGATCGGGCAAACGGGTTAGCAAAATCGCACGGGATTTAAGATGAAAAAAAAAAACGTTGTAAAATCGCTGGTTTGCCGTGAATTTTTCGCTAATTGCTCGGCGAGCTTTTCGAAAGAAAAAAACCGCCGTCGCGTCTATGTTATACTAAACAAAATGAAAAAAAAAAATAATAATAATAATAAATAATCGATGCGAAAAAAAAAACCTACCTGCAACTATAATATACCTATATTACTACAACTACTCCTCCACTTCGTCCTCGTCTTCCTCGTTCGTCTTCCTTGTCCTTCTCTCATAGTCTTCTACTCGTCTTCGTCTCCGTCGTCCCTCTTGTACATACCTATACTCAACCGTCGCGGCCAAAGACGTCGTCGTCGTTGTCGTCGTCGCGCGCGCGCGCTCGCGCTCTCAAACCATCGCGCGTGTGTGGTCCCCGCGCGACAACAATACCACACGCAAACGACCGACCGGCCGGACGATAATAATTAGCCAGTAATGTGTGCTGCGTGTGTGAGAGATCTGTTGCCGCTGCTCGACGCTGCGACGACCACGTATGGACCACGACGACCGCGACGGTCGGATCGGAGACAGCCCGGCGGGCACGGTGCAGACGCGACGGTGGTTTCTTTCCCGCCGCCACCACCCCGGTCCGCAGTATCAGCGTGCGCAGAGTACCTACACGTAAATGCCAAATTGGGGGTGCCAGACCGAGATAAAATAATCAGTGTACGCGCGTGTTGTGTGTGCATGTTTATATACCGATCCGGTGTGTCGGGCTGTAAGAGCTGCAATGTCGACGAGATTCTACGACCGATATGTACCTACACAGTGATTCACCGAGTATAATATAATATGGTCACCCCATTTTTCTTCTTCGATAACGTTGCCGTCGTTAAAACTCTAGTTTTGGGATACTTAATACCTACTTGAAATCCGCGTGTTTTCAACGTATCGAGGTTTTTCTACTACTTAATTCCTCAAGTAGATATAGATACATTTACAATATACACAAACTCTTATGACTATGATGGTGATTTGAAAGCTGTTGTAATATGTATAATATATTCATATATCAAAATTTATAATTGTAATATATACTAGATTCAATATTAAATGTTTTTTATATTTTTTTAAAATCATTTTTAAGGACTATTATCCTCAGTATAAACATTCTAATAACTGAAAAACTATTCGTTAGAATTTATAGTTAAAAATAAAAGGATGCTCACTTGAAAAATAGAAGTTTGAATCGTCGTAGAATTTGTATGAATTGTTAAAAAAAAATAATAATAGGAGGTAGCATGCTTGATGAATCATTCTATATAATGTTAAAAAATAATTATAGGTATTATCACATAAATTATATATATAATGTTGAGTAATGAGTTATATATATTATGAGATAACCGTGTTCATTTCGGTAGTTATTTTCCAAGCGCGGATTTGGTCTTTAAAAATTTCTTACTCTTCATCACAATTCGGTAGATAACTGAAGTATATAATATGATTATAAATGATGCGGATACATTATTTGTATACACCCACACAATATAAATTCGCGTTAGATTAAAATTTAATTCATTATTTTTATTTTTATTTTTTGTTTTTTACAGCCGGTTCGTTCGTCATTGGACTGATATTAGTTCCCTGCGCCATGTCCGCGCCTACCAAGTCGTCAAAGTCTTCGTCACCGACGCCACCACATCCCATAATCGCGTCCGGTACGCCGTTCTGGCATAACCCGTGTGGCATGCTTTTGTCGTATGACGGTAGTGGTGGTGGCGCCATGATAAGCAGCGCCGTTGGCCACGATATTATGATGATGGAATCGGAAACGGATTCGACGACACGGCGCGAAGAGGACATCATTCACGGCATCGTCGTGGCTGCCGGTCAGGCTCTAACACACGCCGAACAGTTTACCGGTGCTTTCGTAAGTACACCTTTAAAACACTATGGTTATATTATTATGTTAACATGATTAATTAACGATTGGTAGGAAAAGTATAAAATAACCGGCGCATTATAAATTGTATCTACAAGGGTTGTATAAACGGTTTAGTTCCAGATCTAGAATTATGTATTTAAACATATCATATCTACATATATATTCGTATCCAAGACGATAGTTATCTATAATAAGACCTATATTTGTGCCAACGTAATACCGCATAAAGTTTAGTTAACGTTTAATCACGGAGTTTTTAACAGGATAAATTACTGTGCTGGCATTAAATTTGATACGGCAATGCCGTGAAGAAGCAACTAGTAGCTACTAAATAATATTAACAGGTGGCATCACTATAAATTATATTAATGATAGTATTATGATATGATTGTATAAACGGTAATACATTATAATAATAACATATTAATGTAATTCGCTGGCGGCACGCGGCGGCGATGACAACGTGTTCGTGTGGCGCCGCCGCACGTGCGTATCGTGCGCGCGCGCGTGTCGAACCACGCCGCTGCAGAGGGGGTCGTGCGTCGGCGACGGTCGAGATGAATGAAATACGCGCGGCGGCGGCAACGAGAGAAAATCATCGGCGGCCGATTAGAAACGGTCGTCAACGCCGCCGCCGCCGCCACTCGGGTGTTTGGGAGGTCGTATATTTTCAGGGGCGGTACCGTAAAATACGTCCGTTAAAAACTAGTTACATTGTTGTCGCATGTGCGAACAAACCGCACGCAGACGGAAATGCCGACCGGACGGAATAAAAACATAAAATATTAAATATTATAATGTACATAAATGAGTAGGTATACGAGTGTAATATGTATTACGAATTCGATGACCTGTAAAGTTAATAATAGGATCGAATATGTGTGTGTGTATGTGCGTGCCGCGAGTTGTCTACGATATTTTTGTGGTTGTACGTTTAAGTCACCGCAAACACCGCGCGCGGTACCGTCACGTGATTATAGGTGTAGGATCGTGATGTAGTGCCGTCGTGTGTCATCGGTAAAACCGGCAGAGAAAAAAAACAGTAAAGTTGTTGCATCGGGTTGTCCACTTAAACAATGCTTCTTTAAAATTTACTTATCCGTGATTTAAAATTACGTATTGCATATATATACTATATATTACGTGCAAATAAACATTTCGTCGTTTACAGCTACGTTGTTTTTTTTTTTTTATTTAATGTCGAATTTAAAAATGCGAATTAGATAAGATAAAATAAAATATACCATAGGGCGTAGTGAAAATAAACATGGTTTTAGCATTGTTTTTATTTACCGTGATATATTGATATATATTTATATATATTTGTATATATTTATTATTTATATTTATTTGTATATATTTATTATCTACATAGAATAATAATTAATGTTCGGTCGTATAGTAAGTCATTATGTACAATATCTGTTATTTCTTCATTATTATGCATAATATTTCATATTAGAAGATAAGTATAATCTTAGAAATATTCTCCTCCCAAAATCCAATTATGGACGCTACTGTTCACTGTTAGATGGAAGGATGGGGTTCGCTGATGGTCTATATGATTAAAGTTACAATTTCACTTATATAAAAAAATATTTAAAATACTTAAATTATAATTTCTTATTTTAAATATTAATTTATTAATTAAATTTAAAAAAAAAATTAATTTGTTTACAAGTGCTTGCATAGTTGTACATCTAGTGTTATTTTAAGGCTATAAGTCCTCTGCCCTATAGTGACAAGTAATAATATATTATATTTTACTTTATTTTAATACGTACGCCGCGTGCGTATAAGAGTTTTTATTTTTTCAAACTTTCAAATGACGTCAAGTTCCCACGGTCTGCACGCGATAATATGCGCCGCCGTGTATACGACAACGTGTGTAAACACGACACGAGTCGTCGGCGGCTTCGAAAAATACATTAGTTCGCACCTAAAAAATTATTGTTTCCGTCGTGCACGTTTGTGCGCGTATATGTCAATGAGCCACGGTATATACACTGTAAACAGTTTTTGTATGTATGATATTATTATATTATATCGTACGAGAAAATATCGGGAAAACGCGAGCGGGACAAAAAAGCGTCGGTGGCACAGCTGCGCGGCGGTAGAATATTATCGATGTGTTTACATGATGACGGTTGCGGAAACGTATCGGTTTTCCGTTGCGAAAACTACCGATCGCTGAGTTTATAACACAAGTAATTTATATATAATATATATTATACATATTATACAAATACATTAAACGTCGTCGTACGTGTTATATTATTATGATGATGTACATCTACGGCTCTCTACCTATACAAAACGATTTATTTATTCCGTTAATCGTAGCGTATAGTTGGTCGTTATTTTTCCTCGAAGTACGACGTGAAATTACGACATCACCGCTGCCGGAACGTGCGTGGTTTATATGCCGCCTACGCCGCCGTTGCTGCTGAGTGTGCGTATTATACAACTGGGGAAATGATCGAACAAAACAATATCATAATAACAATATAATTACAACCCTTTCGCGTCTGATTTTATCCATTATTTTTATTATCACGTACGAAGACGGAGAGTGACAAAAATCTTAAAAGCACGCGCGTGTACAAAACGTGTAAACAACAACTATGTTTACGATAAAATTAAATTTTAATGCGTTCGAGTTAACCTACATAAAACGGTCAACAATAACAAATAATAAATAGTATATGATTTTCGACTGCCCAAATGATAAATTAATATTAAAACACCTATGGCACAATGATTACATAATGCGGACTCTGATTTAAATTCAACGGTAAACTTCTCTATCTCATATATTCGTCTTATTGGGATAAAAATAACAATAACAATAATATTTTTCTTTTCATTACGCTCTGATGTACTAATATAATTTTGAAAAATTCGTCATGTGACATAAATTACGTCCTCAAATAATTGGACTTAACAAAGTGAACATTTTTTTAGTCAATTGAGATTTTGGATGATGATATAAATACTCGTAAATAGTCTTAGTATACTAATTTTGTACATCATTGAATTTTTTTAATTCTTTTTTTTTAGTGTATAAACTCTAATATTTTATGAAAGCTGCTGATATTTTTTTCACCTTAAATTTTTCCGTATTTTTATTTTATAGATGCTTTTTTAAAGAAGAACTCAATAGTAGCCCACTTAGAAAACCAACACTTTCTACATTGCTAATTGTTTAGAACGCGTTTGATTCAGACTAACCTAATCGAAATCCTATTACAATGTTATCGCAATTCTAAATTTATAATTATTATAATTATGAATATTATTATATTTTATATATGCACGCACGTATTATACAAAAATTCAATACGTTTATTTTCTAGATGACTCATATCATTTTCTATCTGTAATATTAAATGCGCAATACTAATAAAACACGATTAGAGGAAAAAAAATAAACGATAATTTTCGATCTCTTCTAGATATGTCATGTGTGTGTGGTGTATAATAATCGATACTCGAAAAGTGTCCGATAGTAATATTATTTTTTTCGGAGCACATGCGCCGCAGTGTTTACACGTGGGAGAACGAAAAATGGTCAACAGTCACACACGCTGGGTTTTGAAGAAAAAAAACGCAGTTTACGTAATTTTTATTCTCGCGCGTCATGTTTTCATTGCACTACCAGTCGTCGCGTCGGCGGGACAATGAGAAAATAATAATAATAATGATTATAAAAATAAAAACCGGGTTGAAATATAATATTATATTATAATATCACACATGAGCCGATAACGGACACCGAATACATGAACAACACCTATACGATTTTTTTTGTTTTATAAATCATTACTCGACACTGTGATGACAACATATAACTATATTAAACACGTATTAACTAGAGATTTATATCTTATTAACGGGTTGCCAAGAAAAAAAAATATACAATATTTTAATGACTGATTAAACATATAAAATAATTCTGATCATAAGTGTGAGCTTACGCGGAACGTGCTGAGAGCAAAGTTCGAATGAAATTTACTGTAGCAATACGAGAAAATGTCGTCAAAAAAAAAAAAAACTGCTATCTACAATTAATTAGAACGGAGCTAGTGGTTAATAAAAATAATACACAGTGTCGATCGTGGGACGATTGCGATGTAGAGGAAAGATACCTAATATATTCGTAATATTTATTTGTGCTTAATTGTTAATTGTGCGCTTGCAATTATTATTGTACATCGGACCCCACAAATCTTATCTGAAATGTTCACACTCGTACTGTGTAATGGATAAATATTTAATATGTATGAAAAAAATTAAATATAAATCATACACATGAATATAAAACATTGTTATTATACGTGAAGTCTTGTTATATTATGTGAACGTTTGCGTGATTTGTCGTAATATTCTTTTTATGAACTCTCATGTACAGTATGAATGTATGCAAAAATATTATTACTGTTTTTTAAGTGTCGCTGGGCAATCTTTCTTTCTCAAAATCTTAACCTCGCGTACATAAAAACCACATAGGCCTAGCAGTTAGTTTATTTTCTATAAATTATAATATGATAATAACTTTAATAACTATATTATTAAAGGACTGGAAGAGACTATACCAGTGATTTCAGGAATACAATATTTAGGATTATTATAGATTGTCACATCGTTGTGGCAGATTGAATATAAAAAAATAAACATAATAAAAGAACATAAAAACTACATGTTGATTAAAATATAATTTTAACATAATATACCTGCAGTAGTCTTTATCTTAGAGTTTATGATATTCTTGTGTATATATAAACATATTATATTATTCTGTACTTTAGGCTCGCAGTCGTGAGTAGGTTATATAATATAAAAATAAAATATGATGATAATAATATTATAACAATAAACGGTGAAATAAAAATAATTATGATCGGCCAGCGGGACCGTCAAGGCGTGCGCGCGACCTCTTCTCCCTCCCATCGATCTATCCCTTCGTCGACCGTCGCACCCTCCGCCGCGGTCGTCACGTGCAGAGTGGCGCCGGTCGACGGTTACCGGCCGCAGACCATCCGTCGCCGTCGGATGCGTTTTCAGCGAAATCCTCGCGCGCGGGCCGATTCTCATTCATCGTGCGCGGACAGGACGACCATCAGAGTTATCATGACATATATTATTAATATTATTGTTACACTATTGTCACGCCGTCCATACGGCGGCTCGGGTGACGGCGTCGGCGGAAAAACAAACGCGTTTTCCGCGTAAACCGTCGTCGCGCGCGCGCACCGCATGGCGTATTGTAACATCATCGCTTTAGCTCGCCGCCGTCGGTTATCGCGCGTTCAGCTCTCCGTGCGACCGGACATGCGGTGGTCGCATAACGTTATTATTAATGTTATTATTATTATTATTATTATTATTATTACGACGCGACAGCTATAACAATAATACCGCGCGATAATGATGAAGGCTAGTAGGTAGGTACCGTGTTTCAAACGACGCCGCCGACTCGGTTCAACAATTTTTTTTTTTTTTCCATAAATGTTGCTCTTCGTTTCTCTGTAGACCAAACGCAACGGACTTACCGATAAAGCACTGTAATATTTTCGTCCAAAACATAATTTGTTTTGATTTTCGTTTTTCCCTATAATATTATACGGGTTTTATGTAATATAATATACTAAACTGTGCATCGGATCAGCGGAGGACTAAACTTTTTTAATGATAACTAGGATATGAATTTAAAAACAAAAATTGTATTCTCGCGTTTACCTGCAGTTTCTATTTAATAATGGCAATATGATATTATTAATCGAATTGTGTGTAAGGGAAACGTGTATAATTTGCCTATAATTACTTGTTAATTAGATATATTTAAAGCAAATTACGCTGTGATTATGACGGTAAATATGCTTTCATTACTTTATCGTTATCGATCAACTTAACTTGAATAATCACGCAGAAAAAAATATTTAAAATATATATTTTTTATTTCAAAAATAAATGATGAGAAATCAATAGATACAACGAAAGGGAGGACATGTTACCCGCCCTCTTCTTTTATGTGCACGCCCCTGCGTCGAATCGTAGTATAATACCATACTATATTAATATAATATGATCATAATAAATTAACATATGTTATTGACAAATATCAGAAATATATCAATATCGATTCGTTCGATTAGGTTTTGGATTTTTCTCAAACGACAATATTCGTTATATAGACATATACATACATATATATGATTATTATATATATGTGTGTGTGTGTACATGAATATTAAGATAAATATTGACGTTATTATATTACATTTGATTATAAAACGATAATAATATGACATAACGAGTTCTCGCCGATTTGTTATAAAATTACTTTTTTTCAGTATGCTTACGTTAAACACACATATGGACACATGTCATACTATTTACACACCCGGCGAATGACGGTTAAATTTCTTTTATCGTTTCGAGTTTGTTTTAAAAACTAAAATCACAATTATACTATATGGTGGATTAAGAAAAAACGCACGTCTTGTACATTTAATGTATTAGGTATATGTACATATGTGATAATTGTTGCGATTAAAACATATTATTATGCATTGACTCATGGTTGGTATGTAGTATATATATAATTGTGTAATAATTATTGTTTTTTTCGTCTAATAGTTATAACAATATTCAGACTTGTACTTTTTATACCGCCATTTATTGTCTATCTTAAAGATTTTGTTTCGGTATAGTTTGTTGACAAATAACTCAATTTTGATAAAATAAAGACTCTCGACCTAAAATAATGCGTGATCTCGTTAATATATCATACATTATATTACATTATAATATGACACCTATAATTATTATTTTAAAACATCATCGTATTAATGTTTGATTTTTATATTATTATAGACTGTAGACGTTATTGATTTCCTTCCCTCGCACCAAATGGTCACAATGCATACTATTATTTTGTATTCTGTATTTTAGAAGTCGTTGACGCAGCGATATTTTCGAATTAACGCTCTGAACAAAGTATTTTAGTACATTGTTGGTCTACCGAATATTATTGTTATTATTGTTTTGGGGGTCACGTTTATAAAGAAGTTATCGGACGCGTCGAAAAAAAACTTACATATAATTTATTCATTGTACAAATTGACAAGCCATAAATTTCACGTAATGTATAGATGATGAAGTGCTAGGAGGGAGTATGCACAATGTAGTGATAAAAATAAACAAATAAAAATCCTACCAACGTTCAATAACGCTCATCGATACCGATCAATCGATCGCCTTAGTGCTAGGCGCCTATTCCAAAACAATTTTGACCAAGAAAAAAATAATAATGATAAAACTATTCGGAAAATAACGATTGTATTAGGTAGATATATTTTTTTGATATAACTTCTAACGAACCTTATATACGGTACATATCGTACAAAATATAATATTTATGCATAAACTATGTATATATTATTATTCGAATAAAAATCATATAATATAATAAAGTGGTATAATATAAGCTATAAACAACTGGTCTCGCAATGTTATACAGCGAATTAAGGTGGGAGGACGATAAATCGCCGAGTATTATTGTTTACAAATTTAAGTATTTAAAAAATGAATTTATAATAACAAAAAAAAATCTATTTTTTTTCTTAAAAATCAAAACCGACAATGTACACTACGACGACGACAACAACAATACAACTGTTACAAACCGTCAACTCATCACACTTCACGATCCAGGGGCGAGTTGTTGGATTTTTTCAGACGCGATTACAACTAGCACGTATTGTGCGACCAAGATATTATTATAATAACATACGACGCTGCCGTCAGTGACATATATTATAAACGATATTACTACAATATTATGTTGTGTTACATTTAATATCAATACCGGGTGATTATTTTATCGAAGGACGCTATTATTATTTAAAAAAACATTTCAAGTTTTAAAAATATTGTTTTTACAATAATATTAAGTCGTTCTAAAACAAGATTATTTTTAAAAATGAAAATATATTAAATACATTATTTAGTATTCAAGTTTTTTACTTCGTCTGAAGACAATATTCCTACATTTTTAATTCCGTATCCTAAAACAGAATATTTTTTTGGTGTACTTTGACGTACATAAATCAAATTTTTGATGAAATTATAAATAGGTAGGTACCTACTTTAAACAGTTTTAAAATAACTAACATGGTGAAAATTGTCCAAAATTTGATTTGTATGTATCAAAATTCAAAATATTTCAAAATATATTCAGATTCGAAGTATAAAATTAAGATTGCTTGTCGTCATTTACATAAGAAAAAAAATGCATTACAATAAAATATACCGTTTTTTGCAGTCTTAAAATTAGGTACGTAAAAAAGTTTTTTTCAAAAACTTCAATATTTTCAGACACACTGAGTGTTTTAAACTGATTATCTATAATGTAGGTACACAGGAAGTATCAAAAATAAAACGATACGTAAACAGCAATACTCACGTCCTTATTTAATATGCGTTTAATATATTATGTTGCCCACAGCAATAATAGGCAATAATAATAAGAATAATATATTATTATTGGCTGTGGACATTTATGGGACTTTTCCTCGGTCGCTTTGCAAGCCGGAGGCCGTACCACGATATGCATACGACATCGTAATCGCGGTGTACAAGCATGAAAAAAGTCAATTGCCCACTCGTCGTATTGTTGTGTTATATAGGAATTATTGTTATTATACACATGCGAGAGTGAGTATATGGTCGTCGTGCGGTCTCGTCGCCCGCCGCTCGTGTTCTTTAATCTCGGACGACCGGGCCGCGCCGACCGGCGGTCATCGTCGTCGATGTCGTTGTATTATTAATTATATTCTCTGCACACACACACACACACACACACAATCGCTATAATATGTGCGCACAAACCGCAAATAAAGGTAAAACAAAAAAAAATATAAAATAAAACGTATATGACGACCGATAACATAATATATATATATACGCACAGCGGTCGTAGAGAGCGAAACAATTCGACAGAGTTTTGCGCACGCCACGCTGGTACATAATTTATATATATATTTATATATTGTCATATAAACCCGTCCGTTTACGAAAGAAAAAAAAGTTTAGTACTGGACACACTCCTCTCCCTGTGTGTGTCGTTGTCGTCGTTTATACCTATATAACATAATACATTTGTGTAATAAAACGTAGTAAATATATATTATCTTTATAACCATTATTATTATTATACGCTGACCGAGGTGATTTTTTTTTTTATTCCGTTCCGCGCAGGTGGTCGAAACGTTTCACGTCGACGTAAAGAAAAACCACGAACACTGGAAAGGCATCACGCTCGATTGGCTGGAAATGTCCAAATACATGCCTAAAGCGTTGGACGTGCCGCTCAGCAAGTCCTATCTGGCTACTCTGACGTTCAGGGATGTACTGCATGCCGTGTACGTCGGCATGCAAAACGTGGCCGTGGGCCTGGAACAAGTGGCGTGGGACCAGGATCGGGAGATGCTCCCGTACGCCAAGTACTTCAACGAAACCACTTTGAAACTGAAAACTGTAAGTATTTATTTTCTGCGGATCGTATATATTATGTTGATATTCTGTATTGTATCTAAAATATACTTAAAAAAGTAAAACCACGTAATCTTTAAAGTATCATTGCTTTATAATGTAAACGGTTCTAAGTTTGAATCCCTCTAGAATTATAAAAATGATTTAATTTATACATAGTATATAATGCGATTGATGGTTGCTCACAATAAATATTATATTAACGACTGATTTAAATATACCTATTTCCTGACGAACCATTCAGACAGTGCGCAAAACTCTATAATCATACAAAGTGATTCTTCAAGTATATTCAACCCCTTTTTTCTTCAATAATGTAGTTATTCAAATCTAATTTTTTGAATTTCCTAAGTACATTTATAAGCAAATATTTTTAAATTGTTAAAAAATTTTTATACTATTTTAGAATTATGGAGTGTCTTGTGAAATTAAAAACTTTTATTTTTCAAATTAAAACCTTTCATTTCTACTTTAAATTATTTGGCAAATAATTCCTCTAAAAATTGTGATGTATATAAACTGAGTTATTTAAATTTATGTATTTTTAAGAATTCTAAAAATTAAAATTTTTGTTAACTCTTTATTTAATGAAAAAATGGGGTTGAGCATAGTTGTTGAAACTCCCAGTATATAGTTGCACTCCGTTACTGATCTAAAGATCTCGCTTACACATATACTACTCATATTTAGAATATTTTAAAAATATAACATTGGAAATAATTTTGTCAAAGAATACGCATTCAATAGATTTGCTAAAAAATAAAACATTTTTTCTTGATGATTATGATGTAGGTACCTACATAATAATAATATAATTAATATAATATACATGTGTGATCGCTTGCACGTATACCTGCCTATATACAGTACATGATTTCTTTTTCTTTTTTTTGCACGGTCGAAAATAAATATAATAATATTATATTATCTGGTCTTGCGTGCTCCTTCTACAATATTATAATAATAACGTGATTTTTACGACGAACCATAATGATGATAATATATATGGCCAATCAATATTAGTATGATATTATATGGAAATAATTTACACGTTAGTAAAATAGTATTAATAACGATTACAATAATGATAGTCATAATAATTTTCCTACCACGCTACTGGAACCACCGTATAAAAAACCACTATAAACGTATAATATATACCTATTATTAATTCGATGGTTACACTAACGAAATAATATTAACATTCGATGCGCAAAACTAAAAAAAAATAAATATATTAATAGTTATTCTCCACATTTCACTCCTCCTATATTTTCGTATACACATAAACCTAACATATTGCATTATTATTATTATAATACGTTTAACCGTTTAAATAACACACGTGTGCGTATAATAAATAAACCGTTTAAATACGTGTAATCATGATGACGGTAATAATATAATCATGTAGATTCGAAACCATTAGAGGTTGTATATCGTTTCGAATTATTGTCAGCTTATAGCTTTCTGCTATTACATTTACATACATAAGTTTATAAACGCTAGCCGCGAAAAAATGTAATTTATTATTATTTATAGGTACGTTTTAATCAGTTAAAATATAATTGGTGTAGGTATGTGTAGAATATTATTATATCGTACAGGATGAGCGGTATAGGCCGTAAGACACATAGACCGAGAATAGATAAATACGATGTTACCCATCCCTGTAAACGTTGTTTGAATATTTTACCAAGTCACGCATTGCTAATAACATATAATTTCGAAATATATACCACATGTTTAGAGATCCATCAGTTGGATTATGAACCGTTGAAATTCGCGTCTATATTGCCCCGAGCACCTTCACAGAGTTTCGCCAATATTATAAATATATTCAGTGTTTTAAATCATCTGTTCTAGGCGCAGAGTTATGTTAAAATTAATTATGGTCTTATATAATGTGCACAGCGTATTCTTTTAATGATAAACCTCATAATATTCGTACTCACAATTTACCAGTCGCAGCCGAAAAAAATTAAACAAATTATATTGTTTGATTTTACTCATCTAACCGAAAAGAGTTGGGTCCGGCACCGAAATACTGCCACAGTGTTAGTTTATAATACAATATCTGGATTACCTCACGTACTACCTACCGGCGATTTAAATGATGTACTAATAATATAATTATTAGTATTTAAATTGTATTTTTAACTTCGCCCGATAATAAAATGCAGTTATATTCTTACAACTACAAGTATAAAATTCCATGGTCAGTGATGATGATGATAATAATAATAATAATAGTACGAATAATAATAGTCGAAATAAAATACCTACGTGTATAAATTATATAGGTACCTATAATATTACGATACCGTCTTAGTGTTATAAATGTTATAATACATGTAAAACATGGTCAAGAACATAATAATATAAAATAGAGTTAGGATTTTGTTGCAAAATAAGTCATTAAAAAGATTTTATTTAATTTAAATTTAAAAAAAACAAAAAAATATATTTTCCCCTTAATAATCAAAACCATCACTGATAAAATTATAATAACCTGTGTTTCGATAATCTTTGTATAAACCATTTATAATAACTCGATATAAATCAAAATTATTTTGACGACAAAAAAATAAAATAAAATTTTCCCTATTTTGGTTAAAAAATATGATTATTGAAGAAATATTAAACATTTTTATGAAAATTATTCACGAATTAATTAAAAAAGTATATTGAGGGGGAAAAAGTACATTAAGGATAAAAAGGTAAAATAGAGGTTACTCTATTACAACAATTATTAAAATGATACAAAACGAATAAATATTTACAAATAAGAGTTATATTTTTATCACGGTCTCCGCAAAAAAATCAATTGTTACAAAATACAAATCTTAATTATATAATGAACGTTATCTATGTGTGTGACAATAACTTTTTCGTCGTCATCTACCTATCTATACTAAAACGGTTTCGTTTGAAATTGTTTTTCTTGCAGATCCTGTGCGAGGTGTCGATGGCAATTTATGATATCAACGAAACGCCGGAACCTCACGTGGAAAGGGACATCATGCCGATCGAGTCGAGAATTTCGCGCGACAACCAATCTCTCAGGGACTGGCTGATACTGCGAGAGTATATGACCAGCCTCCAATACGTGATCGAGGCTTTCGGATACCTGAAGTCAAAGAGATAATAGACACGTTTCGATCGCTGCCGCTGCCACAGTTTCTGACCGCATAATCCATCATCACCGCTGATACATATTATCATCATTATTATTATTAACTATTATTGTGATTTAATTTGTCGCCACTCGTTTTATTTTCCGCACACGTCACTTATTATCATAACATATATTATATATTATTAATATTATTATTACTATAATACGACATTACGGACACGAACGCCGCGCGTTTACGTTTAGTTAATTACGTATATAATTAAAATATTTATATTGTGCTTAAATGTTTAATATTATCGAACGTAAATCATTCATCCCTCTCTCTACCTCCAGACACCTCAACTCATCAACCGCTACCGGTCCCACCTCCATGCCATCACCTCGTCCATCGTTCCAGTTGTTATAATAAGTATAATAATTTTAAGCCAATATTTGTGTAATGATTTTGATTTATTCAATTTGTTTTCAAACTACTCGCGCATTAGCGTACAAACGTTTTATAATATTACCTACTGCGTACGTTTATTATCGATATTATTATAACATATACTATCTATAGTTAGATATATTTTTTTTTAGTGTTAACAATTTTTTATTTACTGAATTATTTATTTATTTATTTGGTACCTCCGCGTATCCAGACTGTTATTTACACGTTGTATAAATGTTTATCGAATTGTTTTTACGACGACCTATAATTGTATCAAACATGTGTCTAGTTTGTTAAATTCATTTTAGTTATTATTATTATTTTTATTATTATCATTATCATTATCATCATTTTCATTATTATAGTAGTGTTGAGTGCGCTACGCGAGATCCGACATTTTAGCTCTTCAGCTGTTATACCTCATGAATTTGAGATTTACGGAGATGTCCTCGTATTAATATAGTATATTATTATGCCTACTGTTTGTTCGATTTTTTTTTTTTTTTTTGTAGGTATGTTACTTGATGTATTTGTTTAAGTATTGTCTGTGATATTTTATTGCCTATTTAGATTATTATTATTATTATTATTATTATTATTATTATTGAAAAGCATAAAATCTTAAAAAGAAAAATCAGTGTTGTTATAATAAATAAATTATTATTAATAAATATACATGTACGATATGTACTGTAAAAAAAACCTAAAACTGTCATTTTTTTTTTTTGTTATATTTTTACCCGCAAGTAGCAAAAAAAAAAAAATCAGGTAGTTCGACCCTGCAGTAAACAACACGCATAAAACGGATTTTTACCGATCACTCCGACGGTATTAGCGCTGTTGGACAACCGTTATCGAGACTTCGGCGGTAACGGCTGAATGCGATTGAAGCGTTTTTGCAACAGTCGTGTGAGGGCGCGGGAACTGTGAATTTTCGAACAAATAAATTGCCGTGAACGACCCTCACACAGTCACACGTATTATACGCAGTTAAACATTATCAAAATAATAATAGTAATATAAAATAAAAATTATATAACGTCGTCGTCCCCATGTACTAGTGTATAAACCACATGGTTGATAAATAAACACATACAGCAATTTATCAAGGTCAAAATTATTTATTTTTTAAGTAACATAGTCATTCAGTCTGATTTTTGGAATTTTTAAATAAACTCAAAGACCATATTTTCAAATCTTCGTAATTTATTGTATTACTTCAAAAATATCTTGTAGAGATCCTATAATATTCTGTTTTCTATATGAAAGGCCTTCTTTTATATTGTAAGTTGTTTAGTGGATATTATTCCTAAAAACGTTGACAAATCAAAATTCAATCGAATAGTTTTTGAGTTATTTAACTTTATGTGCTATGCATAACAGGTCAGTGATAGTGAGTTTATTTACATTTAACAGAAGTTTGTATCACCACAAAATACTCCTGCAGTCGTATAAAACAATCTTTATGATTTAAAAAAATAAATAAATTGGCTCACGTTAGATATACGTTTAACTATTCTAGAAATCATAAATTGAATAACTACACGATTAAATGAAAAATATGGACGAGAATGCTCGGAAAATAACCATGTAGATTGATATACTGTGCTCAAACGACAAGCCTGCAAACCGCTTCGGTGACGAACATTATCTTTTTTTACCGGACTGCTTGCAAATTGCCACTTAAGGATGACTCCGGGGGAGCACGAAGATGAAATATCACTATCACAATTATTATTGTCGGTACGTGCAGTATGCAGTTTAATATGCGCACGACAATGACAACGATATTGTATGTGTAACGAGTTGTGAAAAGTATCGCGCGTGGCTATAGGTACCTGTGTTATACTACGAGTATGCGTGCAAAACATCATTTTGTTGAGACGGTCTTTGAAACAGCAGTAAAAAAATATAAAAATAAAAATGTATAGGTATATCAAAAAGGAGCCGCGGCCGGCGATAATATACGTGACCGTGAAAACGGGATAAAACTCTCGTACCGTTTCCATCTGTTCGAACTGCGGGCGACCGGAACGACCCGATGGCGCGTGTGTGGTACACATTGTTGGACATTATTATTACGATTTCAATAGGTACCTATGCTCACAAAACGACAATATAATAATAATAAATGACGTGTACGGCGACGCGTGTTAATGTCCGGCAGTGTATGATGTAGAGGCGACACTTGTGTTATAATAATACTTATTTATTTATTGTTTATAAACTTGTTACGATAAAAACGAAAAAATGTAATACAAAACAGTAAAGTTTCCCACCTCCTCGAAACGTAAAACTTTTCGTGGATATGCAAGGGAGATTTTTAACGTGTAATTAAAGATATAATCATATTTAAACTTATAAAGATTTAAAATATGTTGTCAACTAATACATCAAAAAAAAAAAAAAAAAAAGAATGAAGAAAATAATATTAATAATAATAGAAATTATTAAAAGATAATATTATCAAATTTTACTGAAAATGAAAATTATAGCACACAAAGATGTTATTGATGTTTAATTTTATCTTTTGACAATGACAAGTTACATTATTCATACAAGCAATTTGACTGAATATTTTCTCACGCAATAAGATGAAAGCAGATTGATACATTTTTTTTTAATTCAGTTACATTTAAATGATTATTTTAAATTATATAATTTTTATTTCTACGTAAAAAGAGTTAGTACTAATAAAAAATTACACTGGACATTAAAATTAAAAGCATGAAAGATACTAAGAACAATCTCAGAATGAACTTGACCTTAGAGGTGTAAGGACTAGAAACAATTTGAATGAAATCAAATAACTTTGTAAGAAACTGTATGAGGCCGTAATATTATCAAAATCTGCTTTATCGAAACAGCGAAACTGAAACGGAAACAAATATTTGCAAGATGAATGGTCTTTTTGAACTCGTACGTAAATGTGTTTAAGTACTGTGAAAATATTTCCTCCATCGTCGTCAGTTTTAGACGAGAAGCTAAAAATGTTCCTTTTTGGTTTAATAAGAAATTATAATCGGAATTTTTTTACTTCGGGTTGTCCGCCGTTACGAAATTATTAATTTATAGGATTTCAAATTTAATAATTAAGAGGACGCATGTGTTATCTCCACCTTACATACATACGATACAACACAGCAAATTTTTCGTTTAGCAGAATCCAATTTATACTGTTAGCTTTAATATTAATGTAAATTTACCTATTATTAAACTTAAAGATAAAAATTTTATTTTGGCCATCACTTAGATTTGATAGCAAATTTTCAATGTTTTATGTATGTAAATACACTTTACTGTTACTTAAGAAAAAGACATAAAATGTTTACAATTAAATACATTAATACACTTTAAAAAAAGTCAATCTGAGGATATTGATATTAACCAAAATTATAATTTTGTATTTTAATTGTGAAATTTATATAATTATTAAGTATTAGTAATGCAGTATGTTGAACTTATACTAACTCAAAAATGTTCTTAACAATATCACATGCATTTTATAATGGTTAATAATAAATAATATAATATCATAATTATATTTTATACTAGTGCCATACGCAGAATTGTTTCACGAGGGGGGTTTAAAGGAGGTAGCAAAAAATAATAATTCCGTTCTACAATAGAAGTAATTACAGTTATTTTTTTTTTTCATGGGAGGGCTAAATTCCTAACCTCCCCCCAGTCGATATGCCACTGTTTTATACATATTATTATTTATAACTTATAAGTTAATACCATAGTACCTTCAATCGAACGATGAAAATAATTTCATAGTATAATAATAGCTTAAAACTAATTTAAGTATTTTAAAAATGTCATTGTGTAAAAAAAATAATAATATAGACACACGTAGGTAATGGTGAAAATATGTGCGACATTTCACGGGGTTAATATTTTTGAATTACAACAAATTTATCACATCAATAAGAAAAAAATTGTCATTTTAATTTAAATATCCAATTTTGTTAAAATATGAATGTAGATATTTGCTAAAAAAAAAAAAAAATTCCAAGTTTTTTATAATTGTATAATTCTGTAAGTACAACCATGAACCATGTATTACATTTTCAAACTTGAGCTATTCAAATTTAAATAATTTGAGAATTTTATCTAAATATAAACTTATACTTACAAAATAAACATGTGCTTATATATTTTTTAGATTTCTATGTTTGTTAAACAGTATTGGATGGGTATCGAAAACAATCTATACTTGATAATTGGCCATAATCGATCCAATGTATAATAGTTTTGGTTTTTTTTTTTTTTGTTGTTCGTTGAATGACAAAATGTATAACTGGAAAACAAATCATGTTTACGATAATACCGGATATTATATATTAATTTTTTATTGTTTTGATAATCAAATCTTATGTACCTATAATTTATAGCAAATAAACATTGTAAACGACAATCATAAAATAAATATCAAACAAATCCTCATTATATGTATTATTTTTAGTGACGTAACGTTGTCATCTATATGTTTAAAAATTTACATACGTTTGGATGAGGCTCGCATAGACTTGAAGACAACTATGAAGTAATTGATACCAAATGTTACGCATATATTCTTTGAGATTTTTAGAATGTTCATAACATAATTTTTTGACCCAAATGAATTTCTAAAGGGTAGCTAACATGTACATTTCATTTTTGTCCATAAAAATCGAATATTTTTTCTTTATAATCATTAATCAAGGCTACCGTTGGTTATTGTTCATAGTTTGTAGCTTATATGCTTAAAACTACTAAACTGGTTTTTTAAAAAAAATTAGCAATTATTTTTAAAGATATCAAAAAAGTACAGCTTGAATCACGTTCAAAGTTATAACGAGTACTATATTATCCAATCTGACACAGGTGTGTTGGCCGAATGAGCCCACAAAACGAGGTACACCGACGCCGATTTGCTCATGAACTGAAGAATACTAAAACTGTGATACACGGATATAGCACCGTAATAAATGCTAGTCATTTTTGCTAAGCGAATAGAGTAATACTTCTGTCTACTAGTAACTTAATAAAAATTTCAATGGCGAGTTATCTATATTAAAATAATTTTTATTTTGGTCAACCGCTTACTACTTGTATTTTATTTTGAAATCAACGGTTTTG